CGGCTTCCCGAGTAGAATTCCATTATGCCTTTCTTGTAATTCGTAGTGACTTCTCCTAGTCCTTCAAGCCATTGAATTCCAAGAACTATCTCTGGCCCCACAATAGGTAGTGCATAGAGGTTGGCTTTGATGATCTCACCTTGCAGGTTGATGGGCACTTCCCGATAATATTCGTGACATCTCAGCCGCTCTCCATTGGCAACCCTTACATCGAACGGTTCCACTTTCGTTGCTTTGAGCTTTAAGTCTTTAGGTATTCGGTCGCAAATAAAGTTATGCGATGAGCCAGTGTCGACTAGTACCTCGATTGGCCGTTCCTTGATCATGGCGGGTAGTGGAATCGTTCTCGGTCCCTGTAGGCCTGCCATTGCATTAACCGAGATCTCCAAATCTTCATTCACTTGCTGTGCTGGTTGGTCCTCATAGGCCTCTTCCTTGTCCTCTTCAATGACGTCGATCAGAAAAAATTGTTTGCATTGATGGCCTGGGGTGAACCTTTTTTCGCACTTGTAGCAGAGACTCTTCTCACGTCGGCGTCTCATCTCCTCGAACGTGAGTTGTTTAACGTTCGAAGGTGGCGTTTGAAAGTTGTTCGGTGGTCTCGAGTTAGGCTGGACATTGCTCACGTTCGATGGTGCGTTGTCTATGATTTTGCGCTCGTTCAAGTGTTGATCCGTGCGTCGTTGCTCCAAGTTACGCACACTCTCTCGCCCGATCCTCCGTGTGGCCGATAAGTGTTCATCCCTCCTTCGTGCAGATTCCATGGCCTCGCGCATGGTCCATGGTCGGTCGTGCCTTACTTCTGCGGATAGCTCGAATTTGAGACCACCTATGAAAGTCCCGATGAGCGCAGAGATCGGCCAGTTGCGCACCCGACAGGCGAGTCGCTCGAACTCCTTCATGTAGTCCCAAAGACTCCCCATCTGCTTGATGTGTGAGAGCGCCTCGTCGTAGCTTTGATAGTCGGATGACCCAAATCGAGCAAGTAATTCGCGCTCGAATTCTTCCCATCGGATGTGGAGCGGGTTGCCTTGGTAGTTGCTCACAAGCCATTGCCACCATACGTTGGCTTCCCCATCAAGATAGTAAGCAGCGTACCTTACACGGTCATTCCCATCAGTCTCATTAAGCTTGAAATATTGCACAGCTCGGTTGAGCCATGCATCAGAATCAGTGCCGGTGAAGGTGGACAGCGTGAGTCGTGGTTTGATGGGCTTCGGCCGGTCATAGTCGTTGGTCGCCTGGGACCGCCGGTCAAAGTCCTCCTCTTGATCTCGCTCCTCCTGTCGTCTCTCACGGTCCTTTTCTCGATCGTGCTCCGGGCGTCGTTCGTGATCGGCGTGTCTGAGATGCTAGCGCCTCAGAGGTGCGTCGAACTGCCGTGGTTGCTGCTGCTGCAACGCCCGCAGCACCTCGTCCAAGCGTTGTTCGAGTCGCGCCACCGCCGCGTTGGTGTTGTTTTGGCCTTCATCGAGTGATCCAAGCCTTCCTTCCATAACTTCGCTCATACTCCTGACTTGAACATCGAGATTATCGATCTTGTCCTTCATCTCCTTGTTGGCCATGGCTTTCTTTTCTTGATTGCGTTCTTTGCTTCGAGGACTCGTGATGGAATAGATTTTTTTTTGATAGGGGGAACGAAAAAAGAAGAAGAAAAAGAAAGGGAATGGGGTA